ATTGGTGTGTGCATATCATGGTGTCTTGGTGGGATGGATCATGTCTCGGATGGAGCGTAAGTGATCTGTCCGTACTCCTTTGTGGAGAATGGTGGGGTTGAATCATGTCTCGGATGGAGCGTAAGTGATTCACCCGTACTCCTTTGTGGAGAATGGTGGGGTTGAATCATGTCTCGGATGGAGCGTAAGTGATTCACCCGTACTCCTTTGTGGAGAATGGTGGGGTTGAATCATGTCTCAGATGGAGCGTAAGTGATTCACCCGTACTCCTTTGTGTAGAATGGTGGGTTCGATTGAATGAACCAATGAGTCGGTACCGCATGCATGGTGTTGAGTTGCATTTTTGCATTATAATATGTTATATTGTAATTTGAACAGTAGGTTCGTTATATGGAGTTGTTGGGGTGAATATTGGCGTGGTGGTGTGTTTTACTACCTTGTTTACATGTATTACATTACCATTATATTCTGATCATTATTTCTCACCCCTTTGTTGTTGTTGTGGTCTGTGCTTCTTCGGAAGTACAGATAATCCAGGTGCTTAGCTAACTTGGATAGTGGTGTGACCGTCGAGTCGTAGGATGCTCTGATACGTAACACGGGATATGGGTGTCTTAACTGTTTCATGTCAAACTTATTGTAATCCTGTGACGTATCATGAATTTAATGTATTTTATTTTATTAAACAAATTCCGCTGTATTATTTTGAAAAGAATGAATAAAGTATTTTTATAAAATTTGGAGATGTGATATCCCACTTTTGGTGAAAACTCTGATTATTATTATAATATTTATATTTTATTTAATACGGGAAAGTGGGGTGTTACACTTTGCCGAGTCAATTTTCTTTTCTTTTTAGAACAACCTTGATAGGTAGATAGATAACCAACCCATCAGATAAACACAACAAGCGTGGATCCCATCGAGTACGATGGACGTGAGGGGTGCTAATACCTTCCCCTTGCGTAACCGACTCCCGAACCCATACTTGGTTTCGATGACCTTGTCTTATACCTTTTCGTCCGGTTTTTCCGATCGTTTCCTTTCCCTTTCTGTGGGATAAATAACGAAAGATGGCGACTCTTCTGTTTTGCCGGCACCTTATTTTCACAGTAGCGACACACGTTATCTAGTATTTTATTTCCATTTTTCTTGTATTATGCCTCTACTTTGTTTCTTTTTCAGGTTTTTGTATTTTCAAGGCTACTCGAGAAGAAATGAAGAAAAATGAGCTAAAACCCTACTTTTTGAGGAAATGTATACATGGCTTCCACCATGGTGGGCGCCATAGGAGATACCATGAGAAGGATGCAAGCCAACTGTTGACAACTGCCACGTCTCCCACTCCATTCCCCCCTAGTACATGTGGCGGGCACCACCTTCACACGAAAGTTTCCCTCCCAAAAGGAGTTGAGGGGCATTCTTGTCTTTACCTGTACTTTCCTGCCTCTATAAAATAGTAGAGTTTTGATTCATTTCAAACCATTCAAGTTTAGAGAACAGAACTCAAGCCATAAATTTCACTTGTCTGTAAAGTAATAAACTTCTCACATCAAGGGGTTATTACACCGTGTAATCGAGTCTGTAATCGACTTTGGAGCACTTGGGTAGAAGTTAAAACTGCCGCCATTTTATTTCCGCATTTACTTCCAGTTGTACGAGATTTTAAAGCCTCTCGTTTGAGCAGGTTTCTGTTTATTGCCTTTATTTACCTGCCTTTTATTTGTCGCGCCTTTATTTACTTGCACTTTATTTAGCGCACCCCTTTTATGGCACTTTATTTATTTACCCGCATTTTATTTTCTCGCATTTATTTACCATGTCCGACTAAACTTTAAAGGCTAGGATGCGAAGATTATAGTTATAATTAGTATTCCAAACGGTTGTCGATAGAATTACTTAAGGGCTATTTTAACTTTTAACACTTATTTTCTGCACTTAAAATCTGTTGGGTAAGATCGAAAGCCGTCCAACCTTTAGATAAATTTGGTTAGTGTTGACTGTCCTAAGGAAGCGAAAGCGCTTGGCTCAGTCAATTAGGAATCTTTAATGTTTAAGAAAACCAATTTTAAAACTGCTTTCGGACACGTTTATGGATTTGAAGTCCGATTCGTAAGAACCTCTTTTTGTTAGAAATTCCAAGTTAAAATACTTTTCAACTAAGTCTAGAAACTACATTTCTTAAAATTAGGTTTATTAGTCCTAACGCAATGCACACCTTCTTATATGTGACAATAAGAGAGATCGATTAGGGATAAACTCGGTTCTGAATACGCGAAAGCGACAGTTCCTGTTAAATTAGTTCTTTTCACGAGTAGAAAATATTGCCCTATAATGAATCCTATTTGTACACATCTGGAATACTACATAACTATATGAACTGCATCTATGCCTATTACTTTATTATTAATTTTAATTCTGCACTTTACTTTTATTTTGCACAACCAACCCCTTAATTGACTTGCCTTAGATAAACACCGCAACAATAGTACTCGATAGATTGACGTTTGGTCTCTGTGGGATCGATAATCTTTTGTATTACTTTGACGTTATTCGTGCACTTGCTAATCGCCCATCAGCTACTACCCACACCACTCCCAATTGAAACCCACTTCCCTCACCACTCTTATAAGTTGGAAACTTGACTATATCTTCATCATCCTCACTACCAGGAGGTATGTATAAATGATCAGAATCATCACAATCCTCTTGTTGCAAATCAGTTGGCCCTTTGCTTCCACTTGCCTCACCTAATGTTTATGGAGGTAGCACTTTAGTCCAATCCATCTCATCAAAATCTTCACTGCCTCCAACAATTTCATCATCACTACACTCACTAAAGTCACTTGCAACATAATCATCATCATTCCATTCATCTTGCTCATTAGCATCCTTGACTTCAACATTAGGCTCATTGTCATTAGCCTCATTGTTTTCAACATTTGCCTCATCCACATTATTTTCAATATTATGCTCATCCTCACTGACTTCTACATTATGCTCATCCTCACTGACTTCTACATTATGCTCATCCTCATTAACTTCTACATTATGCTCATCCTCATTGACTTCTACATTATGCTCATCCTCATTGACATTAGGCTCACTAACATTATTCTCACTTACTTCATTCTCACTAACAGTTGGCTTACTAGCATTACCCTCACTAAAACCAGTATATTCTACCTCATCCTCATCAATGAAAATTTCTAGTTCACTCAGATCCACAATCTCAAGTGGGTCAGATACCTTATGCTCCACATATATATCCATAACCTCATGTCCTACAATATCCTTGGCAAACTCCAACACATCTTTATCATTATTTAATGGCCTAAGACCACATGCAAAGCTGAAGATATGGTTCCAATACCACAAACATTTTATGTCTACATAACCCCCACTTTTAATTAAATTATCCAAATCCATATAGTTCATGAAATCCACATCTCGTCCCCAATTCATCTCAGTTACCTCTCCACCTACATACCACTTAACAGGTTCAAAAACTAGTTTCCCCCTATGGTGTATTCTTAAACTAACCTTATTACTTCGACTTGGCCTGAAAATTTATTGCATACATATGGAAATAACATTAGAATAATTTAATACTCAGTGGGACACACGATGAAAGCGACAAACATAACACGATGGACCACAACAAAATATTAAACAAACAAGGTGGAACAAACATGGTGGTCCACACGAAGAAAGGGACAAACATAACATGGGGACATGCTGGCACTTCAAAAGGAACACGAAAACATACCTCAAATAGAATCTGACTTGTCAACTAGACATCTTCGCGAATCCAAACAAGAATGTCGTAAACCTGAAATTGGTTTGAGTGGAATTTAGGGTGAAATTTGAGGTTATTGTTCTTCACGAATCCAAGCAGGTACTTCTTCACGTTTAGGGTTTTTTAGGGTGAAATTTTGGAAATCTAATTACTGAAAGGTTAACTTTGAGTTATTAATGAAAAACTCCCTTTTTTAATGTTTTAAAATGATTTACATAATTTTAAAATTATTTGGAAAATTAAATATAATATCATAATTAATAAATAATAAAAAATAATGACATGGATCCACAATGGTGTTGCCACATCATTAATGACACTGTCATGTAATAAAAAATTGAGGGGGACCATGGAAATTTCAAGTGAGACAAACTTTAACGACCAAAAAGATGATTTTTAAAATGGGGACCAAAATTTTAAAAACTTTAAAATAGGAGGACCAAAAGTGCATTTAAGCCTAATTTTTTTTGTTACTCGACTAAAGCTATAATTAATGCATATAAAAAGATAATGCGATATATTCAAGAGGATTTATATGAAATGACAACATTCTTTTAAAAATTGGACCATTCGGTCAGTCGAATTGGGAATACAAAGAATTATCAGTCTGGTTTGATGGTTAGATCAAATAATTTATCGAATTGGTAAAAATCAAATAGAATCGGTCAAAATCTATAAAAATCAACGAACCGACCGTTTTAAAAGACATGAGGATTAATTACTTGTTTTTTTCCCTCAAACAAAAAAGTTTGTTAAACAAATCGATTGGTCTCCAATTCATTTGCTTCACGAAATAAACAATCAATTTTTTTTACAAAAATCAACAATTAATTAATATAGTTTAAAATATTTTTTTAATAGGTAAATAGAAAAATCAGTAGAAAATCCAAAAATTTTCTTACATAATTTAACTAGCACTAAACAAAAAAAAAACTTAATATTTAAAAATAATACATAAACGAAAAACAAAACACAACAGATAAAATATCAAGTCATTAATATACTATACTTTTGCCACATGAGTATACTATAATTTATTGATATAAAATAGATAGTAAGATATAATACGATAATAATAATAAATTAATTTTCTGCGTGATCATGAAAACAAAGATATAAAGTATCTCAACAACCAGTCAAACTAACTTACCCAAGTTTTTCTGCAGTCGATTCTAGCGTCTACAATAGTCTTCTTCCTTCCATGGCAACCGCCAAGGAAAATTTTCTGAAACAGTTCGGCGAACATTACGGTTATCCCAATGGCCCCAAATCCATCGATCAAATTCGAGCTACTGAATTCAACAGATTGCAAGGTTCTACTCAATTCTTTAGTTCTTTTCATTTTTAAGTTGATCGCTGTTACAATTTGTCGATTTTGGAATTTCACAGATCTTGTGTACTTGGATCATGCCGGTGCAACTTTGTACTCTGAGCTGCAAATGGATTCAGTTTTCAAGGATCTTACTAGTAACGTATATGGAAATCCTCGTATCCTTATTCATATAATTCATAATTTGAGTATTAGTACGGTTCAATTGATAATTGAGAATTAGCCTGATTCAGTTGATGTAGTCGCCTTTTCGCAACACTATACTAAATTGTGCATTGTGAATAATGACTGTTTGTTAAAATGATGTGTTATGAAGCTGCTATAGCCGATATTCTGTTGCCGATTGAGTTGTCGATCGGTTGGCTGAAGGGGAGTGAATTTCAGAATTACAGGAGAGAGATTATCTGAGAAATAAGAAAATAATGCGGAGTATTTGTATTGCGCAGATGACCATGTGTGTTTCCGCATGTTACTTTTAGTTGTGTATTTACTTTGGATAAACTTCTCTACAATTTCTAGAATTAGGAAATTTCAAGAATCTTTGTAGTTTTTTAAACGATGTTTATTATAGAACCAAATGGTACATTATTACTGAAAATGTTATTATAGAATCTTCTGCAGCTTAATACCTTATTTTAAGTAAAAAACTAAAAACTTAATTAAGAAGCTCCACATAAGCTAAGGCTAATCAAAAACTGACTTTTTGTTTCTGGATTCTATTTATGAAAGAAACAAAATTCTTAAATACTTAATGCAGAGTAAGTTAATTTAATGGTAGTTGACACTGACTTTATGAAGTGAATTTCCTTAATCATAATGCTAGATAGCCAAAGTGATTCCAGTTCTGCAACTTTCGAGATTGTGAGGGATGCCCGCCAGCAGGTACAGGCAAATATGTAATTATTTAAACGTGTCAAATGCCTTGTTTATAATTATTTGTAATGATAAATCGAGATTAGATTCTTTGTTAAGTTATCTTTAGCTAGAAAAAAATTTCTGTCAGTATTTTATGCAAAATATTTGTTATTCTGTATCCATGCTATATGGTATAGGAATCAGTACTAATTTTCCATGGGTGACCCTACTTGTTATCTTGTTTGTTGGATTCCATGCCTTGCACATGGTTTACCTTGTTTTGCTTTGATAAGATGGGTGGGCTATGGCGGGTCAACTGGAAAATGCTGTTGGTGTTCTTCTTTTGTACTTTTTGATACATGTTCTAGAAAATTCTACAGTTTGCACAGATTATGAAACTATCAGTCATACAGGTCCTTGACTACTGCAATGCCTCCCCCAAAGACTACAAGTGTATATTTACCTCGGGGGCAACCGCAGCATTGAAAATGGTTGGAGAGGCTTTTCCATGGAGTTGTAACAGTAATTTTATGTATACGATGGAGAATCATAACAGTGTTCTTGGTATAAGAGAGTATCCTCCCCAAAAATGAGATACCGTACTAGTTTTGTTCAGTATATCACTGCTGATGATACAATGCCATTAAATTTATTAAAATGGGACGAGTTTTGGAACTGGGTGGGTGCAGAGATATTATAGCCAGATTTCTTTGGCCCTGCCGTGACTTTGATTCAGTTTTGTCTCTTTCTTTTAATATATAAATATTATATATCTTTTCTGTACTGCTGGACTTGAGAACCAAACTATTCTTGTGTTTTTTATACTGATTCAGTATAATCTCATTTTTGGGCTTGTCTCCTTGGCGTACTTATTGAGTTTAATCTTCTTTTTCTAGAAATCATTACTTTAGTAAAATGGTCTTGTCATGTCACTTTCTGACAAATCTAAATGTGGTAACTGTTATGATTACCTTGCTTTGTTATATTATTACTGAGAGCACCGGGTGAACAATTTAATTAAATACTAACTCAATCAGGGCTTACCATATGAGTGTTGGTATACTATGTTTCTACAGTCGAGGAGGAAATGAGGATAAATGCTGCATAAACTCAACATAAATTGTTTCTATAAGCTATTTTACATAACTTTGGAAAAACTGACGAAAACAATCATCCTGAAAGCACATCATACTTTTAAAAGCTCTTCCAAACACATACAAATGTGTTTATGTACTAAGAAATTCGAATGAGCTCTTTCAAACGCCTACCAACTCTAGTCTGTTCACTTCCATAACTTGTATTAGATATGCTCTTGGTCAAGGAGCTGCAGCCATTGCAGTAGACATTGAAGATATACATCCTAGACTAGAAGGAGAAAATTTTTCTACCAAGATATCACTGCATCAAGCACAAAGGAGAAAAGTGGCTGGATTGCAGGAGGGAGAACCAACGGGTAACATTTTAGGTCATGGGTATGTTCATGGGCTTCAAATTTACTGTCTTATATCTGTTTGTTCCATGCAGGTGATGTGTATAATTTGTTTGCCTTTCCCTCGGAGTGCAATTTCTCTGGGTTGAGATTCGACCTTGACTTAGCGAAGATTATCAAGGAAGACTCTAGCAGGATTTTAGGAACTTCAGTTTGCAAGTAATTTACACTATCATTTGTTTCATTAACTCCTTATGTGCATCCCTTTTTGTCTAGATAACCTAAAAATGTCATGACTTATGCGCATTCAACTATTTGCACTATAGTCTATCATATGGCAGGAACTAGTAAAATTAGTAGAGCTCTTTGTTACATCGATTTGACCATATATGGTATGTCTAATCAGACATGTCTTGGGTGTATTAATTTCCACACTGGCCTTTGATATTAAGCTATCTACACTGAGACTCTTCCCATTACTTCCAATTTTATGGTTTCCTACATCAATGAGTATCCCAAATCCCAATAGCTTTACTATGAAGCTTTACAATCTCTTGACCAAGATCATGCACATCTGCAGAAGAGGGGTGATAATATGTAGAGTTAGATTCTTCCAGGTTGGGTGATCTAACATTAACTAGGTATCATAATTTATAGTAATTTCCAAGTACTGTTCATTTAATAAATATTGTGCCAAGCCATGGTGATTTACATTAAAATAAGATCTCAAGAATAAAGATTTGGATAGAAGCATGGTCCTGAATAGAACATTATGACACAAGTTAATCCATGTAGCCGACCCCACTTAGTGGGATAAGGCTTGGTTGTTGTTGTTGTTGTTGTTGTTGTAGTATTGTATACTGATGTTAATAAATAATAATAGCCACACTTATTATAAGAAGTTAGTATGTCATAATAATAGGAATAATGAAAATAATCTATACCAAGAAAGTGCTATTGACAATATTTAATCAAAACAACAACATACACACATGTAGAGAGAGAGAGGGGGAAAGAAAGCTTCGTTTATCTATAAAACTTTTTTAAAGCATCAAAGATTGCTTATTTGCATATATTCTTTTGGTTCATAAGAAATGGACGATGGTTAGTCTTGATTGATGCTGCAAAAGGATCAGCTACCATGCCACCTGATTTGTCCAAGTATCCTGTAGATTTTGTTGCACTCTCATTTTACAAGGTATAAGGTTTTAAGTTCAATTTTGTTTGGATCGAGGATTACTTTGAAATTTGACGTTCTGTCTTGTTCATTTTCTTAGCTGTTTGGCTATCCAACTGGGCTTGGAGCTCTCATTGTTAAAAATGGTAAGTTACTGGTTTGAGAGCAATTGATATATACGTATTTTATGTTGTCCTCATGATTCGATAATTTCCGTCTTCTTACAATGGTACTAATTTCATTTGTTATCTTATTCATCGTTTTCTATGATGTTAAGTACAAGAATGTCGTCTATGTTAATTTAATGTGACATGATGAATACGAGTGACTAATAGACTATATAAGCAATCCTGTCATGTGAAGTCTGTTGATACATCATATATTGTTGTCTTGATATTATAAAAGAGTTTGTATCTTGTGGGTACACTCAGTTTCTTGGCTTGCTTTGTTCTGCTCATGGACTGGTTAGAAGTGTTTCTTGGTTAAATGTGCATAGAGATTAATTTGCTTTATTAAATGACTCAATCTTTCAGTTACTAGGTGTATTTTTATTTTGTTGGTATTTTGTTGCGAGGCAGCCTTATCTTCTATATTTATGCTTTGCTTATAATTTGATATGGACACATTTATTAGCCAGCAATATCAGTGCAGGAAACATTGTGACTGATCAGGATAATTTCATATTTTATTCACTGTTAAGATTAGAATAATTTTATTTCCTGAAAATTTAAAATTACTTCCAGTTTTGCGTAGATTATGCGTTACAGAATCCTTATCTGCCTTAGTTTTGAATTCAAATGAAGTTCAGTTATGATCCTATACATTTAGAATTAATTTGACTTTTTAAAAGTTTGCCTCTTATTGATTATCCTCTTGATTATTTGCATTGCAGATGCTGCCAAGTTATTGAAGAAGTCGTATTTTAGTGGAGGTTTGTGGCTTAGTGGTTTCTCACCTCTATATAGTTTAGTGGAGGTTTACACTTCTTATTGATTTGTCGGTCCTTATAACAGGAACAGTTGCTGCATCCATTGCTGACATTGATTTCATTAAAAGAAGGGAAGGTATTGAGGAGCTCTTTGAGGATGGAACTGTTTCATTCTTGAGCATAGCATCTATTCGCCATGGCTTCAAAATACTGAATTCTCTAACTGTATCAGCAATATCAAGGTATGCAGAACATAATTTGACATATGAGCATGGTTCCAATAAAAATGGGATTACCGATGTTTCCTAATAAATACCCACCAAATTTTAATAAAAACACTGCATATTATACTCTATTATTTGAAGTTCTTGAGGGTTGTCTATTTCAATATTACTAATCATGTTGTGGATTTATCTTACTTCTTATGTTTGTCACATTAACATGTAAGAAAGGGGCGTGTGAATTTTACACCTCTTGATCTAACTGATGGGGTTGAGTTTAGCCTAGCCCAACTTCAATGGAACTGTATCATTGGAAGGTTGGGCGTTGTAGTGAATAACAATTTGAAGATCAATATGGTAGATGTAAGATGGGTTGGAGATAGGACATCAGATTTGAATTTTCAATTAAATACAACACATTTAATGTTATCAGTTTGCATTCCCCCTATTGGAAGAAATAGGTAAAAGCTGTTGTAATTTTATTTTTTAGGCAAAGACTGGTTTATATAATGAGAATATGATAAAAATACTTAATTCTCTCCTTAATGGAGAATAAAAGAAAATAAATAACAATAAACACAAACAATTAAATATGGAAATAAAATATTTTCCAACACCCTCCCTTAAGCTGGTGCATAGATATCTATCATGTCCAACTTGTCTATCAAATGCTCAAAGGTAGGTCTTGCCAAACTTTTGGTCAGGATATCCGCAGTTTACTGGCTTGAAGTCACGAAAGATAGACATATGATTCCAACATCTAACTTCTCATTTATGAAGTGTCGATCAATCTTAATATGCTTGGTTATGTTATGTTGAACTGAATTATGAGATATGCTAATAGCAGCTTTACTGTCAGAGTACAATTTCAATGGAAGCTCAACTTTCATCTTAAGTTCTTCTAAGACTGTAAGGATCCATAATCCTTCACAAATACCTTGAGACATAGCTCTAAACTCGGCTTCTGCACTACTCCTTGCTACAACGCCTTGTTTCTTGCTCCTTCATGTCACAAGATTATCCCAAACATAGGTACAGTATTCAGAGGTTGGGTGACTGAACCTTCCCAATCAACATCGGTAAAGATAAACACATTCCTTTCACTAGTCTTCTTAAAAAATAATCCTTTTTCAGGATTTCCCTTCAGATATCTCAGTATCCTATAGACTGCCTCAAGATGTTCTTCGAAAGAAGAATGCATAAACTGACTCACTACACTGACTGAGAAAGCAATACCAGGTCGGGTGGGTGACAAATAAATTAGTTTCCCAACCAATCTTTGATATCTTCCAGTATCAACAGGAACATTACCTTCTCCCCAAAGTTTAGCATTAGGATCCATAGGGGTTATCTGCAGGACGTCCTCCACTCATTCCCGTTTCTTTCAATAAGTCTAGAATGTATTTCTGCTGTGAAACCATAATACCATTCTTTGACCGATCAACCTCCATGCCTAGAAAATATCTCATGAATCCCAAGTCCTTGATTTCAAAGTCTATTGCCAATCTCTCTTTTATCCTTGCCATTTTCACTGTATCGTCTCCAGTAAAGACAATATCATTAACATAAACAATCAGAGCAACAACTTTCCCATGTTGGAGAATTTTGTGAATAAGGTGTGGTCAGCCTGTCCTTGAATGTACCCTTGATTCTTCATGAACTGAGTGAATTTTTCAAACCAAACTCTGGGAGACTGCTTTAATTCATACAAAGACTTATTTAGTTTGCATACATTTGATCCAAACTTGTTTTCAAAACCAGGAGGAATGTCTATATATAATTCTTCTAGATCACTGTCGCTATGCGAAAAATGACACAGAGTCGCCACCGGATTTTATTTATCCCAAGAAGGGAAAGGGAAATAGCGATAAAACCTTTGGGAAAAGAGCGTGGTCATCGCAACCAAGTCTTAGGGTTCGGGAGTCGGTTATGCGAGGGGAAGGTGTTAGCACCCCCTCGCATCCATTGTACTCGATGGGAACCTCCTAGGTTATTTCGCGTGAATGAGTGTTTTTATTAAGAGTTTGCTTGCTTAAGGAAAGGAGGGGTTGGTTTATTTATTTTAATGCTCGCCAAGGATTGTGGCCCTTGTGCCTACGTATCCTCACTTAAAAGAAGTGAAGAATCAGAGCTCCGTAGTTCGGAGGCTTATGAAATAGTTATTTGTTAGTTGATTTTATACCTAGAAAAGGGTTTTGAATTGATGCCCTAAGGCGAAAAATAGTTTGATGAGTTGATGTTATTTTTAGGTTTTTCTTAGGGAAGAATTTATTCTTGACTATGATTATACAAAAGACTTTGGATAGAGATGAATGCCTCGAATAACCAAGTCGAGCGCTTTGTATGCAAAACATTCGGAATGAGTGTAGGAGGATTCCATTCTCATTCCTTCTCCACCACTTTAAAGTTCATGGTGCATAATTCTAATCGTATATTTTATTGTGTTTTGGGTTTTTTATAAGAAAAAAGATCACTTGATGTTGGATCAAGGTTTATTGTTTGTAAAGATGTTTGAAGTGATACGAACAAGGTCGATGGCAGACGCACAAGGCGGCCGACTTACAAGGTTGAAAATGGCTCGATAAATCGAGAGTTTGTTTTTGAAAATGGTTTTAGAATCAAGAGTCAACAAGGACAATAGCAATATTCACACTAAAATCATGCAAACATATGGGTTAGTTGACTAAAAAAAATCGAGACATGCAAAAAAAACGGCTATCAAGGAGTTCGCCGTGCGAACTCCTTGAAAAAAAAATTTTTAAGGTAAAAAACAGCAAAAAAGCATAAACAAACTGATCAGTTCGCGCCGCGAACTGAGAAAAGTGAACATTCTGATTTTTGCATGTTCGCGCCGCGAACTAGGAAAGTTTTCATTTTGATTTTGGCATGTTCGCGCCGCGAACATGGGTCGCGCCGCGAGCTGAAGCGAAAAATGTAATATTTGCTTCTTTTTTTTTGTCTTTTATGGTTTTCTTTCCATTCTATTGGTCTTTAAAAATGGCTTTTTGGTCCCCTTAGAACCTTACATGATATACACAGTATAATAACACACAAGAGAATAAATGAAATGAATATAAAAGTAAAAAATAAAGGGAGAAAGGTTTGAAGAAATGGATACCAAGAGCTTTCTATTCTTCTTGCAAGTACTCCAATGACCTTTGTTGGATGTGCTCTTCACTCTTCACTCTATGTTGTGAAGCTTCTCCTTCTCAATGGTCCTCTTATGCTTCTATATCACTCTCTTTTTTTCTGGTTTTTCTCCCTTTCTATTTTTCTGGTTTTTTGAGGTTTCTCTTGCTATCTCTATTTTTCTAGTTTGCAATGTGTGTATGGATGTGTGAAGAGTCAAGAGTGATCTCCTTTTGTTTACAGCCCCCTCCTCTTATCTCAGCTACTCTAGGGTTTTCTCTTCTCCCCACATATCAGATTTTTCATGGAGTGGTGTCTCTTACCACCTTTTCTCATGCCACTCTCTTTCTTTCCATTTCCATGCAAGAGCTATGCTGCATTTTTGCTGTTGCACTTTGCCTATGCTGTTTTTTCTGCATCACATTGTGCCTTGCACCCATTTTGTTGGCTTGTGCTTGGACAACTCTTGTGGTCAATGCTACCACCTTTGACAACATTTTTGAAAATTCTGATATGTAGAAGCTGTTGGTGTAAGCCCTAGAGGCCAATACTTTTTTGGTACTTGTATCGGATTATTCGTTTAATAATAAAAGGCATTTCTTTATTATGTTTGTCTTTCAAAATAATAAAGTCCCTAGAATAATCAATGTATCGCACAACTTCACCATACTAATGTCGGTTTCTGAAGCATAATCAACATCAATCATCCAAATCGTACACAACAGATGCCAAATTTAATTAATCGTTTATTGTTAAATTCATTCTGTGTTTTAATCGAATCAAATACAGAAAAGACGGAAATTTAACAGCTATCAGATCCATGGTTTCGTAAGTGGCTCTGATACCACTGATGGAAAATTGCGATCTAAACGCAGCGGAAAACAAAAATTTCCTTTAGTGATCCTTACGAATGAGCATGGTCAGTGATAGAATCGTTACCTCTTTGTGGCGATTCAGATCTTTGATGCAGCGATCACAAGCGTTGATGAAGTGCAACGCCTCTACTCAGTCCACACGAACAGCTTCCGGTCACAGTGCTAGCTGCTTACGAACGGAATTATTTGAGTGAGAAAAGAGAATCAAAAACGAAATTGCATCAAGTGAAAGCTTCATCACAAGGGTTCCTTTTATAGACTCTCTTGTGGGCTGCGGGCTAAAAACCCAATTCACATGATCCATAATAATATTATATATTATTATAATAACTATTATTATAATAAATATATTTATTTTATTATTATTTTATAACCATTATAAAATAACAATAATTATTATTATTTTATCTGAATTTCTATTTTTCACTTAAGTGCACCGTACCTTACGGTGTTCCTTTGATTTCTCTATCTCTCATCAAACTGTCCTTATGTGTGTGACCCTGTAGGATTTCGTAACGTTGGTAATTATATTAAATTATATATTTAACATAATAAACAGTAAGCGGTATCTAGCAACACATCACTGCTACCCAAGTCACGAAAATGTCATGTGATCTGACAAAACCTTTTTCGTGATAATATATGTTTGTACAATTACCCTTTTGCCCCTATGTCTATATTGAACACAAGGCATACACTGTGTCATCCTTGTCCAGTTCAATATTGGGCCCTTAGACATTTCTCCTGTTATGCAGGATTGGCAAATTCCATCTAGGACACTCATGTCCCTCAGCATGTTTCGTGGAGTGCCCATCAACTGTCTTTATGATCATCCAGTTACGGATAATGTTTGATCAGCAATAAAGCACCCGACTCTACATCTAGGGTCCATAGTGGTTTCAGGTCGAAGGGTGGTAATACACCATTATCACCATGAGAATAACTTATGACACTTTGCATAACATACTATGTAGTATTCTCATAGCGGGTCAATCCGGTATAAATATTACTCCTAAT